TAATGTCTCATAAGAGTATTTTTAAATTGAAATGGTATGCAGTAGATTTCACTTTTAAATTTTAGCACAGTACTAAGAACATGTAAAGTTTAAGAACTGCTATATGATTACTTAAAACAGCACTACAGTGAGTTGAGGTATCCATGAGCAAGAGGTAGAAAGCTAACCCAGCATATATCAAAGTATCACCTGAACTGCTAAAGAGTCTGATTGTTGAAATGCTTTTAAAAAGCCACACTGGGCACAGAGTCATCAATGTGGGAACAGGTCTCAGATTATCCAGGACTTCTGTGTAGGCCAAGGAGCAACCAGTCAGAGATGACCGGGTGTGGCTTCACACAAGGCAGCCTCCTCTAGAGGGTTGAGTTTGAAAGACCAAGGATGGAAAGAACAATCTTGAGGCCAGTTTTCCCCCTACAAACTGAGGACCAATGACTCTAAAAATTAAATGAGAAAAGGGCCTTAACAGGGGCAGCTGTGGGCATGATGGTTCACACCTAAAGTCCCATCTTCTCGGGAGGCTGAGACAGAAGGATCACCTGAGCCAAGTTGGTCGTGGCTGCAGTGAGTTGTGACTGTGCCACTGCCTTCCAGCCTGGGGGACAGAATGAGGCCCCAATTCAAAAATAAATAAATAGGGGCAGCTGTATAAAACCAAAGCCGCCAACTGAATGTTGGCACTTACACAATTACCTTTGGGTACCTCTCACTAGTTAGCTATTTCAAGTTGGAAGACGTCAGGAAGAGGTAGTAATAGAAGGTATTATATTTTAAAAACTGCTTGTAGAGCAAAAGTAAAATTATATTTCTACATGGAGGGGGAAATAGTTAAAACTTGGGTATTTGTCTTTGATTTTTATCATAAGGGCCAAGGAAAAAGCACAGGAAAAGTTAAATTTCCTAGACAGCAAAATAGTGGTCTAACTCTTGGCTCTACTACTATTAACTTATGTGTCATCTTGGACGAGAGCGAGCTTCCCTGGAGCTCAATTTCTTCCTCTTTGTTAAATATAATGGGAGAAACAAGGATATTCACCAAAAAAGAAGTTTTCCTTAGAGCTTCCAAATATCTCCTTTATTCAAATCTCTTATCAAATGTAAGTTACTCATTTTTCCTGAACATCCTACATGAAATAGTATACCCTCAACCCATTCACCAGCCCCCTATCCTATTTTTTTGCACAGTCCTAGTCTCCACACGAACTTATATATATATTCATCCATTTACTTCTTTATTGCAGTTATTCCCACCAGAAAAAGCTCTACTGATTCTTCAAGTAATCCCATGTCTAGAACAATGATTGGCACTATAGCAGTGTTTGACAAACATCTGATAGAATAAATGAACAAAATCAGTTGTCATGAGATTTGACAAAATAGTGAAGAGTCTCATACAGGTAGTACAGAATGTTACAGGTTGAGGTCATGATTTTGGCCAATCCTGTGAAAGAGTAGATTACAGCCACCTACAGATGACATGTTTTCCTGCACAAGACCATTCTCCATTATCGTATCTTGGCTCTTCCATTTATCATTTAAATATATGATAATAGCATGTTTATCTTTTTCTTTTATAATATTGCCTAATATGCAACATGGCCCAGACTTGAAATTTTTCCCATTTAGAGTTTCAGGTTTTATATAAACAGAATAAAGTAGTCTCAACAGGATTAACATTATTAATTAGCATACTCAGGTAGGGAGAAAGGGGCAGAGATAGTTATACTTGCAATCAGTAGTTTTTTGTTTTAAGTAGTTCATTCTTTTCACTTGTTTCATACACTAACTGTCCAATTTTTTTTCTCTCACTCATTGTCTATCTTTCTATTTTTTTAAGGGTTTTCATGCTCCCTTCGCCCCACCCCTTCTCTTATTTTCCTGAGTTCTGCTATATTGGTAGCTACACTACTGCAGGTCACATGCAGATTTTGAAAAAATCTTGCTTAGTCTTTGTGGACTGACTACCAAAGCAGTGTCCTTCCTAAAGCAGGCAAATGGAAGCTGCCAGACATAAAAGGCTTAGAAAATGCACAGGGCAGCTACTGGAAAAGTGTTCAGACTCTTGTTCATGAGACAAGGCTCTTGAGCCTACACGTCTCTTCCTCACCTCTCACATGACAACCACAGAACCTACCTGCATCTTTTGGCCATTAAACCTAGAATCATCAGATTTTAGAACTAGACAGGACCTCAGAGATCACCTGCCCCAAGACCCTCCATTTTACAAATGAGGAAATTGAGGCCAAGAGAGGTTAAGTGACTTGCCAGGGGTTACCAAATTAATGAGTTGACAGGATGTAGAGACCCAGATACCTGATCTTCCAGACCAGGTCTCTGAAGAATGAATGTTGGAAAAGTTCAAGAAACAAGTTATGTCGTCAAAAATGAATGAAAAGATAACTGATCTAAAGGACAAGTGTGGGAATGAACCCTGAGTACTTCAAGTGTAAATCAATCCCCTACTAAAGATATTTCCAGATATTTATTTTCTTAAAAGCAATTAAGTACATGACAGTTAAGGAAAAAACTAGGCTAGAGCATTACACTGTTTTGTTTAAACTCTTACAACCATTTATGTTCTCATATTTAATAGCTTTCAGTGTAATATCTTATACACTGAGTGACTATTCCATTACACTGACCTCTAACTCATGACTTTCAGTAATCAAAAGCAGCTGATTTTAATATGCCGCTGCTTGAGTGTGAAGAGGTTGAGGCTGCTTTTGTGTGCAATCAGGTTAAGATTGGCTCCAACAGGAGAAAAATCCATACATATGTTGAAAAGATCTAAAAAATGCCTGTATTCCCAACCTGATTACGACTTACATTTTTGCATGGTTTGTCAAAGCAGATCACTGAAATCAAATCAAGATGTAAAAAGGGATAAAGTAGTTTTCTCCTCCATTCTTCCATTAATCACCATGACCTACTGGAGAAAGGAACTTTTCCCTCCCTCTCACCTGAGGCAAGGTGGGATACTCCACTGGAAGTTATGCCAATTTTTATCAATTGGTTCTCAAGTTACAAAGCCAATTTTCTAGTTTTCATTTCTTACATTTGTAAATAGAAGCTAATTTACTGCAGAATAATTTGTCATTTCTATCAACAACTAACTATATTTTAATTCCCTTTTAATAAAACAATAAAATATTTCAATATAACTTTGAAAACCTGCTTTAAAGGTTATATAAAAATTAATTTTATTAAACTGAAAATGTAGATACAGGGAATAGCTAGTCTTTTCTATTAAATAAAACTTAGTAAAACCTAAATATGAATTCAAGTCTATTACGGGTTTACTTGTCAAAAAGAGGGTATTAGCAGATCACAGATAAGCATTTCTTTAGCATAAATTTCAATTGCAATGTCAGTTTATATCCCATTAAGATAGTATACTGTTGTTGGTAGCATAAAAGATACAAATGCAATTGACATATGGTTAACAATCTAGCTGTTATCTAGAAAATTCTCAAGCAAGTCTGGGACTGGGTCAAAATAAAAAGTTTTGGAGGGGTGGAAAATGTGTTGGCATGTTGGCTCTTGTTACACATAAGCATGTTTGTTATAGGAGCATTTCCAGTTTAATTTTTGCTATTAGTGTAAACCACAATTGGGGAACCATGTTGCTGGAGAAGGAATGGGGGAGGGGCTAGTTATATAAACAATATACAACAAAGAAAGCCTTTATTTCCAATACCTGAATACATCAGGTTTGTTTTTAGGCAGAAGGTTGCAGGTTAAATGCTCTCAGCTATCCAAGAAGTGGCTTATTAGTTTTGTAAGAAAATATTTTCTTATATTTTGACTGAAAAATATCCAGTTTAAGTGAACAAAACCATCCTTGTTAGCGAAAAGCAGACCCAAAAAAACCTTTTTTTCAAAGACCCAGTAAGGAAAAGCAAAACTAATTCAAGAGGAAAAGCTGCTTTCCTAATAGTAGCTTCTGAATCTGGATCTAATAGTTCTCAAAGGCCAGCTGGAGTCTTCAAGTCTTAAAAGTTTTGTCTTTCTCCATGGATCATAGACATTTTTGTTGAGGCAGCATGCTACAGATATAAACTCATTTTAAGCAGAGATATATTCTCTTTCTGGGCTATAGTCATGAAGCTGAAAACCTATGTACCCACAGAAAGAACGAAGGTAAACAAACGTTATGATTCTTTTGTAGGGCAGTCTTCCAAACACAACTTTCCTCTTTTGCTTTTCTATTTTGTGCATTAGAAAATCCCAACTTCATCTCTGGCAGTGGAGCATCTGCTAATGATACAGTAAATGGCAACCAGTGATTACTGCTGTTAAGTGGCAGCACGGTGACAATGCTAAGAACTGCATCTTGACATACCAATTCAGCTGCAGGCAGCACCTTAGCTACAGACTCTTCTAATTTCTAAATGGGCCTAATCCTGTTATTACAGAATAATTACTACCAACCAGCTCAATTACTATACAGACTTGAATAAACACACATACTAGTAGCTGTTTTCTACAAACTATTATCAAAACAAAGAGAAACAGCTAATCGTGGTGACATTAAGCCCATGTTTATCCCTCCCAGTGTTTGGGCAAGTTTATTTTAAGTTGTCACCTTCAACTAGGAACAATGCAGATGACTTTACAGATCCCACAAATCTTTCTAATCTAAATTCTTCTCAACCAAAAGTCAGCGGTTCCCTCAGAGCAACATCTGCCAAGTCCCAATTTTATAAGAACCCACTTGTACGGTATATTTGCAAAAATAATTTTTTAAAAATTGGAAGCTTGTTTCTAATATACTCTTCTAAATTATTTTTAAGTTTCCATGAAAGTGAAATATTCACTTTATATTCTTTACAACCTAAGCATTTGTTTCTAAATGAGTACAACAGAATTTTACCCCCTCACTGATGTCATCATCAGGTTTCCTTCATAGATAAATAATTTTTGTTGGGAGGGAAAATGGTTAGGAAGAAGAAGGTTTCAGAACGCACACAACACACAGTAGGGATGATATTCAAACCTACCTCCTGGACAGTGCCTCATAGCCATCTTACATCTCCTGGATTCAGCAATGGTTGGACAGGGTATTGTGTCTTTTGCTGGCTTTTTAACAATCTGTCGTGTTCTTGTCTCCAGACCCCATTTAAATCCACACGTGCGATTATTTCTGCTACAAGTTCCCCATTCACTCCAATGACCAACTTCACATCCTTCTAACAAAGATTAGAAAAAAACACACACACAAATAGATAACAATTTGGTATTTATTTACTCCATGGTTATCAAATTTATTACAGTGTTTCTCTACTCCTCCCATTTAGACACCAAACATTTTTTAACCAAAAATCAATTGGTACAGCATACAAAGACCTATACTGGTCTTTTGGGAACTTTAATTATTTGAACCATAGGATATTTGTATCTATAACAAACAAATGCCACAAAAGTAATTTAAAAGTGGCTATTTATCACATCTTTGTTTTTTGAAGGATGTTACTAGCCAGTTATAATGACCCTGAAATGTATGATATTTAAAAGATTCAAAAGCTAAAGCCTAAAGTAGAAAATACGATTTCATACTGTGACAGAAAAGAAAATTTTGCAGGTTAATTCTTCATTCCCCTCCCCAGTCCACAAGTGTGTTTTATTTTGGAAGTGCTGGTGAAAAAGATGGGGAGCTTGTTTTGCGTTTTCTGATTCACTTTATTTTTTCAACAGGTATCTGGAAACTACAGTACAGTAAGGCCCCTACATACAAACAAGTTCCATTCCTAGCGCACATTCGTAAGTTCAATTTGCTCATAAGTCCAACAAAGTTAGCCTAGGTATGCAACTAACACAATCAGCTATATGTATTCTAAGAGGTTTATAATCCTTTTTACACAATAGCACATAAAAATAAACTACTGTACAGTACACAAAAGCACAATTTCTTGTAGAAGATGCACACGTGTGACAATGTATTCCAGACACGGCACCTATGATTGAATATGTGAATACACATTCAAATATTTAAGTTTGCAACTTGAAGGTTTGTAGGAAACTTACTGTATGTATTTTTTTATTCCCTCTAATGCTGTTGTAAATTACTAGAGTTTGAAAGTAAATAAACATACCAGATATTTGAAAATGTCTGTTTGGGCTGGACTCAGTGGCTCAGTCTGTAATCCCAGCACTTTGGGAGACTGAGGCAAGTGGACTGCCTGAGCCCACAGGTTTGAGACCAGCCTGAGCAACTTGGCGAGGCCTCGTCTCTACAATAAATCAAAAACTAGCCGGGCATGGTAGCGTGCGCCTGTAACTCCAGCTACTTGGAAGACTGAGGCGGAAGGATCGCCAGAGCCCAGCAGGTCAAGGCTGCGGTGGCCAGGAGTGTGCTACTGCACTCCAGTCTGGGTGACGGAGTGAGACTCCAATTCAAAAAAAAAGAAAAGAAAATCCTGTTTGCCTAGATATGTGAAAGCTTTTAGCATCCTTTTCTGTAAGTTCATATAGTGGAAAAGTAGGCTATCCTCCCAAGCCCTGTGGAGGTGGAGGAGGCAATAAAAGGATAAAGACATACAAAGCTAAACTTCCTCATCAATTTCAACATTAAAAAGTTCCTTCGCGATAATGGAGAGGATTCAGGTCCAGATTTCACATACAATTAATATTTTAGCCTTCTAGATCTCAGCAGGCATCATTGCTATGCTTAGGTTTTTTCAAAACCATTTAAGACTTTTATCCAGGGGAATGAATAGGACTCTATCTGTAATATATTTGTGGTTAAGGATTTCTTTCTTTCTTTGAGATTCTGGCTATGTTGCCCTGGCTGGTCTTGAACTCCTGACCTTAAGCAACCCTACCTCTATATCATTTCTTCTGCCACAGCCTGAGTCACTGGGATTACAGACATGAGCCACCAAGCCTGGATATTTAGTTAAGGATTTCACCAGCATTTCCACTGAATAATGGGTGTGGGCCTTGCCTCTCAAAAGCAAAAGTTCTGAATATGCTCTTCTAATTACTTTCTTACTTTTAGTAAGGTGGCACCTGTATGAAGGTATCAACTCACACATAAATAGGAACATAAGTGTATACATTTCTTCAAAAATCTCTCATTTAGAGGTATTCTTCTCTACAAACTCTCAAATATATTACAGACTATTTTAGCAAAATTTTCATAGAAAAAAATAGGCCTTTTAAGTTTCCATTTTAAGGGATGAAATATCTAATTTATAAAACATAGCTCTGTTGTATATCATATCAGATAAATAAAATTTGGAATAGGGGAGGGGGACATGTCAATCCACCCATGATTAGATTCAGGCATTCATCAAAATGTAGCCCCTGACAGACCTATACTTTTTCATCAGTGGTATTTTTAAAAAAGCCCAAATATCTTTAAAACATTCAGGAGATAAAACATTTATAAAAGTGTATTCCTAATTATTTTTTATGAATAGAATATATGTATATATTAAATTATGCATTCCAGCTATCTAAATGTACTGAAATTTTTTAAGATGCTTTGTAACATGCAGCCAAGCAGCAACAAAATATATTTGGCACAAAAATTTCTTTTCAACTCACTGTTTTTTACACAAATGGCTAAACAAGAAGGCCTATAATTTAAATAACATAGCAAAAGCAACAGAGCTAATCAACAGCATTGCTTGAAAATGTTTTCTTCTGAGCACAGTGTTTCTCTAATTTTTTTTTTTTTTTTTTTTTT